TATCGCGTCAAAGTGATTAGATTTAATCGAGCAAGAAATTGCTTGTCAGACGTCGATTAACGCCAAACTAACAGCATGCAATATTCTGATGGAATATTTAAGCCGTATCTAGAATGCTTCTTTTTTAGTTCTATGTACCTGTCCAAGTAACATCGTTAACGAATGAAACTTTAGTTCCGGGTTTGTAAAGTTTTTTATGATTTTAAATATAGCGTTCGGGTAGTTCAAATATCCAAAAAAGAACATTTAAAATGTTAATAATAGACACTACTACATCGCCACGCATTACGTCTCTTATTAAAGAAATGTACCGTTGTTGTCACGCGTTAAATTGGTTTTTGTATGTCATATGTATGTTGTTTTATTTAGAAGATAAGTTATTTTTAATATAACTTATGTTTTTATTTATTTCCTAGCATGTTATTTTCTGTGAAAAACCGTAATATAAGTATCAAGTGAGGATACATTTATTCTGTAGCAAAGCGGAGATTAAAACACTTTATTGATGTAAAACGTGAAATATCATATTTTTATATATTTAACTACGACGCGTTTACGATTTAAGTCGTTACAAGAGTCTTATTTAATTTGTACACCTCGCTTTAAGTACAAATCACACTTCAATCGGTATACTGTATAGGTATTGAACTCCTAGAGGTCGGGGGGTTAACCTTTAATATCGGAGTCTACTAAAGTGTTGGAAACCCTATGTAATATGTATGCTGCATACAAACACTATCCTCCCTAGTTTTGTACAAATCATTGCAGCGTGAACATTAAAGACATCGTCTTGCTTATAAAATTATCACTGACCAATAAGTTTTAACTGTAATCTCCTTTCCGCGCCGTAACGCGTTACGTTTTACGCGGTTAACTATAATTACAGGCGACGATGGCTATAGTAAATATGTTTTGAATTTAGCCGACGGCTTTTAATATGACCCTGTCAGAATCACCGCGGGTAATATTATTTACCGTTTAGTTAATAATCAGTTGAGTTCGCGATTTGAATAAATAATTTCAGCTTTCCAAATGCTTAAATACCAGCGTGTAGTTATAAATCAGGATAAAGCGTGGACAATAACAGTGTTATTGTAGAATACAATTGTAGGTGTAGGTCCATTGCTTTTGAAAACTTGAAATAAGCGGAGAGGTTTTATTGTGTTCGAACCCATAGACTATAGACCCGTGTGGCTATTTCAATGCTATTCAATTATTGCTTTGGGTCCTTGTAAATTGTACCACGGCGAATTCGTGTACGCCTTCTTTTCATCTATCTTATGAATCTGAATGTACGTACCAAATATTTTACACACAGATTTCAAAATAAGCACACTTTTACTGACTAGTAAAAAATTTTCATTGACATACATCGATCGCTAATACAGTACTAATATAGTGTATTAGTGATCGATGTTGACATAGCGCTAACATAGGGATAAAATGTCTAAGAGTATTGCTTATCAGGTACACTATACAAAATTTGATTAAAATCTGTCAAACTTATTTAATTCTCCTAAAGCTTGTAAAAGAAATATTAAATACCTACTACGTATACATCTTGATTTCTTGAATTTTTTATAGTAACTATGTGGCATAAAGTGATTATTTCCACAGCTACTACTAAAAGATTAGTTGTATACAAAAATAAGATTTTGTTTTATAACAGTACATTATTCAGGTAAACAACATTAGCCCAGTCTCTCCTTTTTTACAAAACACGTACAATATAATAATGTATAGTGAATGTTGATGCCTATCTTATACTAAAGCAGTTTAAGATTAAACGTTGCATTGTTTATAAGGCAAATGTTATCTTCTGACATTTTGACATCAAATTACAAACAGATTTTATGAGTCATAATTTTAAGCGTAATATTCTGTAACCTTAACTCCGTACAAAGGAATTCGCTCAAAGCCTGTGCAGGACTACATCAACTGTGTACGGGTTGTATAATGTACCTATAGTGATCGCAGTTTAATGAACTTGTAGTTATTCAAAGCGTTTATTTCCCACCGGACATATTTAGGGAGCTCAAATCAAAACGCGATATTTATCTATAATCATAGTATAAAGCGAAGTTTTCGCGCGAATCTCAGGAACTACTGGTTCGAATTATTTTTTTGTGTTGATGGAGTTTTTATCGAGGAATTCTTTAGGCTATTAAACATTATGCTGCTACAATCAAGAGCGAAAGAGTGGAAAATGTGGGAAAAAAACGGAATCAATCAATCTTTCAGTTGTCTTTCAGTTTCCAAGGCTGCAAAAACGGTTCAAGGTACCCAAAAAATATGTATGAAAGAATGATTTCTCTTTAAATGACCTAAAAAAAGTCCGCGACGCTATATGTCTATCTTTTAAGATTAACTTGCAAGATCAGGGAAGGGGTTTGCAATAACGTCCGCGGAGACGTTTTTGCAAACCCCTTCCTTCATCTTCGATTTTGGCGTTAAAATTAATATTTCACAATCTTGTATGTATGAGAAAACGAGAATGTGCATGAAATGTGTTTGAGCAATTTCCCATGTATGTATATTATTTTTTGTGATATGATGCAAAATGTTCATCTATACAGTTAACCATATATAGTGGCCTTGTAAGCGTCAAAGCAATAAACCTCAAATAGTTCACGAAGGGTTGTTTCGAATTCTCCCAACAAATACCGTATTTTGTGGAAACTTGGAACTCCGTAAAGTTTACCACGTTCGAACTTGGAGCTTACAAATATTGACTACGTTCCAACTTTAACGTACACCGTTAAAATGACATAACTTATGCGAATTTTAAAAGTACTTCGGTGATTTTTGTGATTTGGTGAGTTTTACCATTAATACCTAAACAATTAATAAAATAAACTTCTTCTTGTCATAATATAAATGAGGTCGGCCCTTTTACTCTAATTACGATTATTACGCGCGTTTTAATTTAAACATTAAAAACAATTTGAAATTGTCCACTCGAATATAAAAATATGATTATTTTTTAGTTTAAAACGCAAATATCGTACCATATTTTTTATTTATTTTAACTACATCTCCATTTTATTGCGTTAAAAGTACTGCAATTGCGTTAAAGTGGTTTATTTAAATGTACTACTCGCATAAACTATAATATATTTTGACAGGATTTGAATCCAGGACATGCTTAACACAAAAGGCATTGGCAATTCGTTTAATGGCGGTAAACGCATGTATACTATTAACATTAAGCTCACGAAAAACGATGCTTTAATGTCCACTTGACTGTTTAAAGATTTTCTTAAATGCTCGTCCAAACTTAACACGTGTGACCGAGCGTTTGATTGAAATTCCGAATTTAAAGATGAAAGTAAAAAGAAAGAGATACGAACATATTTTGCCAGATAAATCCATAACGTGGAGACAGCCGGTATTTATATCTACCGCAATATTTTACGATGTCTGTGGTATTCGTTACTTATATTCGTTTGTTTGTGGCACTTCTTAGGTTACGTTTTGTTTTACGGAATGCATAATTATAAAGTTTGTTGGATGAATTTATACACTTGTGAGCTTGTACTCTGTTCGTCACACATTTATACAAATGTATCTTTTCTAAAACAGTATTTTCGCCAGTATACCGAAAACCGAATATCCGGTAAACACCCTGACAAAACTAATGAGCCGAATATGCGGTTATAGGATCTTGCTCCAAAATTTAAACAGTTTTTAAACAGCCTATACTGACGTTTTTCAAAACTGATGTTAATAACTTGAAAAATACTGTGTGCAAATTGTGGTAATTAAAAATTTCACGTGGAGGCGTTAGGTTTGGTGGGTTAAGAAGAAAGGTGAATCGAGAATGTTAAATCTAATCCAGTTTTCTCTTGTCTAATTTAATTAATCAATATATAGTAATTATAATATATATGTATATTTAATTAATCAATTTAATTTGGTTTTATCATTTATCAAGTACCTATAACAAAATAGATAACTTATATATACATTCGAATACCAGATATTCGGTATTCGGCTGAATAGAGTAAAAGAAGCCGAATAAGCCTAAGACGAATATTCAATTTCAAAAATATACAGTAATATTTGCAGACATTAAATTAACAAACCCTGACATGTACACAGGGATACTTGACACAAGAATTACTGCCTGCGCGTGCACCGGTGTCAGTGTCATATTACCCACGTTTTAGAGCCGATAGAGTTTGGAGTTACGATTGTATAAAGCTTTTTAGCTTAACAACAGTAGTTTTAGCAAAACAGTACAGCATACATTTTTTAGAAGAACAACACAACATTATCTTAAGAATTCACTCGTAAAATATATTAGGTAATTGTTGATTTTAAAGGTCCTGCAATGAAGATAAAGAAAGTATTATTGTTGTTTGATTTTTATCTATTTTTTTAATAATAAAGATCAACAAACGGGCGGGATTCGAACCAATAGCCAACAGCATATTGTTGCTCCAAATGTTGTCTGTAGTTTATGCGATTTACACTTAAATAAAACACTTTTAACTGTTGAAACCGCGAAATATATTAGTTAACTTATTTATAATTTTTAACTAATACCTTTCGCGTTTTAAACCGTTAAAATGGTTTATTTAAATACATAATTAGTAGTATTGTTGCTTTTAGTTGCTCTGTTGCTCAATAGTATTATTGCTCTACATTTTTTCCAGTCTGTATGATCATTTTATACAGGTATCACTTTATGTCTTATGTAACTGTAGACCGTTTCTGCAGCCAAATGGTTAAACGTATTGCCTAGCATTGCGTTAAACGCGAGAGGTCCTAGGTTCGGATCCCAGGAAACAAAAAAAAATCGTTTCGATCGGGCAAAGCACAGAAGTTTGATCAACTACTTGCCCGTTAAAAGAACGGATCAATGAAACAGACACAGAAATGTGTTCGCCCCATGCCCTACGAGGGGGAAACGGACTTTCACTTGTATAAGATATGTGTTGTATTATAATTATTACTTATACGTACAGTTGCATTTACACAAAATAACATTCACTTACTCTTAAATTAGAACTTCCTGATGATGTTCCACTGCTGCTGCTGAACCGTTTGTGATTATGCATAATACGTTCAATTGAATTTCACTAACCACTATGAAGTTATGTTTTCATTCACTATTCAAATTATTATTACAAGACCGTTTCGGTAGCACTGCACTTCTATAATTGGTGACAAATCCTATAAGAATAAAGCTTGCATTTTGTTTTCGTCTTTGCACCTGTTTCAAACAAACGTTTACTGTGTTCATTCAAGTGAGTTATGAAATGGCATACGTGACTCAAGGAGTTTATCGATAAAAACCAAAAACACAACACGCTTATCGCACACAATCGTCATCTATACTAATATTATATAGCTGAATAGTTCGTTTGTTTGTTTTAACAGGTTATTCTCAAGAACTAGTGGTTCAATTTGGAGATTTGTGTTGCTTAGAACATTCATCGAGAATGGCTTTAGCCTATAAAACATCACACGGTGACCAATAGGAATGGAGATTCAGTGGAAAAAATGGAAGATACAGGGTAAATTCTTCATTTTAAGGGTGTCTGTTGCGTGCGCTCCGAAAACGGTTTAAAAAAATCCAAAAAATATGTATGACCGAATGATCCCTCTTTGAATGACCTAAAAAAACGTCCGCGACACGATGTGTCTATCATTTGAGATAGACTCGGGACGGGGACGACGTCGTGAGTAACAGCTAGTTGTAATACGCGCCGCGGTATATTGGGTAAAGCGATAAGATCGTAACCTTGAAAGCAAACAGGTACTACTTAGCATATTTGTGTGGCGTGCTTATGTTGCGGAAACGGTGCCTAATCCTAACTCCCGATGCCAAGTTGACAATTACATAATGATAATGATTATTATACTTTAAGTGTAAATACAAGTATTATACAATTTACGTAAGTAAATATGAAATAAAAATAATTTAAATAAAACACTCTCAACGGTTTAAAACGCGAAATATGTTATTAAATTAAATTATTTTTCGATTTAAACTGTCATAAATGCTTTATTTGCACAAAATCTAGTGATTAATTTTTAAATACGACTTGAAGTTTTAAATGATTTACAGCACCCAAAGGGACTGTGGAATTTTCGGATTGTATATAAAAAAATAAACATTTTGCATTTTAAAACGTTACCTGTATATTTATGTGTACCGCATAAACTACATTATGAACAAAAAGAAAAAATTATATATATATATTAACGTTCAACTTTGCATAAACAAATTCTAATACAATAATACCATTTTGATCTTAGATGTCGTTTGTAACCGTCAACTTGGTCCCGGCCCCTTGCAATAAGTTGTTACTCGTTAAATACTCTCAACTTCCGCCTAACAATCTCCGCTTAGCTTAGCTTAGTTTTTGCATTCCAGCGTGATAAACTTTTTACTAAGTTTCAATGAGCTGGGCAATGACTCTGTGGCTTAACAAAACAGATTAGACTTGTTACTTTATTTTAATAAAAAATAGATAATATTATATTCTTAAGATGTTTCTATCACGAGCATAAAATTCCATTGGTCAATTTTCCCTTGTGCACAACACCGCCTACAGTTAGATTTATTTATAGAGCGAATTCTAACGTCTATAAAAGGATTTCGTGTTTATAAGGCACGCGAATAGATACGGGAATTTTGCGTACGCGTTTGCAAGACGGCGCGCGCGGCGGCACTGTACCTCGTTTTGCAAACCGCGAGAGTCGAGACGCTACCCTCTCGAGGTAGACCGCGGTCTGCGACCACTGCGCGACAGAGAATAAGTTTCACAGAGGTGGCTAGCTAAAATTAAATAGGTAGTTATATGTACACTCTATTCTATAAAGTAAGGAAACGCTATGTCAACGTAGATTAAAGCTTTTAAAGTTGGATATTTATTTTTTGTTACATTACTTTTGAGCAGCCATTGTATGATACAATTTAGTGATCACATTAAGTGTTCACTTAAAGCTCAATGCTTGCACCTTTCATGTATCACGTAGAGCTCAAAAGATTCTAGGTCCGAATCCCGGAATTTTTTTTTTAAAACCGTACACAGAAATGTTTTATGGCGAAGAGATTTTACTTTTTTTTAAAACTAGTTTGATTATGTTAACTAAATATGAATATTTACATAAAGAGAAATACATTCGAGTACTAAATTATCGCGGTAACTGTTTATATTATTTATTGTGTGATAGATTAAATAGACTATAGATGATTTCTATGACGATCTTTTAAGCGTATTAAAATAAAATCTAGTCTTTACATCATTTGGTTTCTAATACGCGTGTCTCTATAAATTTGTACTCTGTGGCTCTACCGAACGTTGCACCTGACTCCGCGGAACCAACCTATCACCGACACAATACATATCTTACAAGAGAATTTGCGTGCCAGCACGCTTTTGCTCTTACTCTACTTTATCAACCATCCTGTTGCACGCGAAAGCTTAAACCATGTACCTGGATAAATTCTAAACAGGCTATTTCAGTATATTACAGTCATAGATTAACTTTAGACGAGGTAAAAATCAAACTTCAAACTCATTTGCGCTTACAAGAAAATTGTTTTAGAACCTTAAGGAAAATTGTTAGCGTTGCAATATCAATACGTTATTGTGTCGTGTATATTATCGATTGTGATTTTGGCCGTTGTCATTGACTTTACAAGAGAATACATTTGCAATCTACATTTTACTTTATTACAATTAAACTGAATATTGATCATCGTATCTACTAAAATATGTTACGCTTTTTCAGGTAATTAATTTCAGGGCTAATCTGCGATGCTAAACTCAAATAAGTAAAAAAAACCGTGTATACAGTTTACATTACGTATTTAAATAAAAATATTTAATCCAATGTTGTATCCTCCTACGCTATATTTTAATTTACGAGCTTTCAACTATTTGATTTACATTTAAAGAGTAAGTAACGGTTATTTAAGTGATTTTCGTTTAGGACATACTAAAAACTCCAATAAAATTACATAAGTCTGCTTTCTCAGACAATGTTTTATAGACGAAGAAGTTAAGTAATACCGTACCTACGAGAAAATATTTCGATACAATCGTACGAGTTACCTTGTTTGTCGTTCATTGTTGAAACAACTAAGCATTGATATGATATATTATAAGTGATAATAGATGTAAATAAGATCTCCCTTTTCTTAAGCAACAAAAAAGCATATTGTACTCGTAAGATTCATGTCAAACTTGATAAACATTTCATTGTTTTATTAATTAAATATAACATCGCTTCAAATGTGCTTTTATTTGATAAAAAAACAACCAATGGGGAGTAGTATTATTATGATATGTATACAATAGTAGTAATATTATGATATGTATGAATCTCATAAAAATATCACTAACCAAGTCAATAGTCGTAAAAATGGACAAAAGGTTTACGTTAGTTTCTAAAAATATGTAGATTGTTTCACCGAAACTTTGATGTATTTTATGACAATTAATGTAATTACTTACAAAAATGTTATTTATAAATCTTATTATCCTGAACATACACTGACAGCAAATAGTTAAACAACACGGCTTGCTGCCTTCACTTCAATTTTTATTTCTCAAGGGACGCACAGTCTTGACTCATCCTCTTGCAAGTCACGCTACTATTCAAATTTGTAAATCAATATTTAATAGACTAAGTAAAATATTTAAATAAATATTTAATAATTAAAGAATGTATAAAAAATGTTAGTTTATTTAAATAACATATTAAAAGTTTTACCTTTATGATTAAATTTGGAACTTACGAGTCCGACGAATAGTACTTCTCCTGGTAAATGAAACCGATCAATAGAATGGAGTTCTTTGCCCCAAAACCCACGTAGGTCTGAATTTGACTTGCAAAACACTAACCAAAAGATTTCCTTAACTTATAGACGCAAATTAAAGAATCTGTCAAGCCTAAAAGAGTAGATAAATCTTCGATAACAAGGCGTAATTCGTAACAATATATGGGATTGTTTACTAAAGTATCCAATTTCAACTAGTCGGCAAACAATGAAATCGTGACCAGAGGCGATAGCTGATTACCATCAAATCACTTGGGCGGTCAAATTTATACAATATACATGCACAGAGTGTGGGCATTATTAAAATAAATCTATGGGAAATCGACTGTAATTAATGAAAAGCAATAGAAAAGTCTAATATAACGAGTAGACTACCAACTAAAGTATATATTATTAACAACGCTCTGCATACGTGAGGTACCTTAATTATAATTGTCATCATTTTAGTTAGATTCTGTAGTCTAAAACATATTTGTGTACTAAGTAAGCCATATTAAATGAGTAAGTAAATGTTTCGAACAAATATTTATTAAACGATACCAATAAACGTGTAATAACGGCCAAAAGGACATATTTCGTTTTTATTTATTTATTTGCTAGTCTGCAAAACTGGGAAAATATAACATAGAAAATACATCCTTAATGATCTATAAAAATCCCAATTGGATTTTAAAGCGCCATCTATTTCTCGCGTACATAACCTAATCTAAGTTGTACCGATAACAAACTCTTGCGCAAGCGCTCGTTAGACTTGCAAACTAACACTAATTAAAACGTATAAGAGATGGCGTTACTTGCACAAATTTTAGAAAACGTTTCTAATTTCGAACCAATTAATTACTATAAATTAGGTTAATACTACAATCCAAGAATTACATACCTTATTTTCACATGTGGTGTGGCAGACATATTTGCAAACTGTAAAGAAAATTTACGTATATTAAAAATATACTTTACATTACTACATTTGGATACCAACTGAACACATAATTACATTACATTCAATACAATTTAGTTTAGGTATTATAAGAATATTAGTGATTATTACTAATTTTGTGATTATTGGTATTACGATATTAACTGGATAGTATACATGAAACGAGAACCTTGTGGTTTGTAAGTATGTAAATCTGGTTCCATTTGTGAGGACGGGGGTTCCATCATCTAACTCTATCTCACTAATCATATCTGTGTTGCAATTGTACATTCTGCTAATATAAAATACAAGCTAATATGTATTCAAACGCTAATTTCTACGTAATCTGACATCTAAGGAAACATACCCGATTGATCCCAAAAGTGGCGAACTATTAAAGTGCTGGTGAATACAACACTGGTTTAAAAGTATTGTCTATTTACCTCTACAGCACGAGCCATTGTACACCGGCTGATGACACCAATGACAAGACCTGGGTTTCTTAAATGTTTTGCTGCGGAATGCGTGCGATTGGCCGACTCCCTCTTTCTGTAACAAAACAGTAAATTCAACTTTTGTAAACGTCAGAATCCAACTATACTAATATATAAAGCCGAAGAGTTTTTTTTGCTTGTTTGAACGCGCTAATCTCAGGAACTACTGGATCAACTTGAAAAAAATATTTTTGTGTTGGTTTAAGCATCTATTGAAGGAGGTATAAAACATAGCGATTCTACCCAGACGAAGTCGCTGACATAGCTAGTGTATAATAAAATTATCACTCACACAAAGATGCATCTTCGTTTCGTTCTAATATGTATATGGCACGCGATCGTCGTGAATTGTGAACTCAATTTAGGGACTACCGGCCCATACTGTTTACCTGCTCAAGCCGACCGTTCGCTGGACACCCAAAACAATGCCATAACGATGGTAGGCGATCAAACGGACTCATTCATATTGCGCCTACGCATTCTATTAGTTACCCATTGTTCCCCTATAACGCAGATGACCGTAACTCCAGTACCTGCGTTACTTATCTATACTAATACATATTATAAAGGTGAAGAGTTTGTTCGTGTGAACGGCCTAATCTCATAAACTACTGGTTCGAGTTGAAAATTTTTGGTTAAAACATTTATATAGAAAGGCCATAAAACGTATTATGACCAATAGGAGCAAAGAAGCATGAGGGAAAAAAGTGAGGAAAAGGGTGCCCTGGTGTCCGTTGCGGTTGCTGCGAAAATGGTTCAAAATGATATACGTGAAAAGCCAAAGGACGCAACGTCGTTGGTCACAGCTATGCCAAATATTTTAAAATCGTTGAGGTTTGCAAAAAACAAATTTCGATGGCCATAATAACTCTTCCACGCAGACGAAGTCGGTTGCACAGATAGTTCTTGAAATAAAGAGTACTTTTAAAACTATATATTTATGCTTTGAACAGATGACAATAATATAAGTATTATGTGGCAGGGTCTAGAGTGGTTGTTAAATTTGCGTACACTTTAAATAACACAATGATTGGTGGGTATATAAATAATTTCTAGTCTGTTGAGTGAGTGAGTGTAGAGCACGCTCCCAGGCCAATAAAGTTAATTTGTATTCAATCGGATATTATAATGGTCGTGGTTCACGATCTCTTATCTTTGAAGCTTGTATTAACGCTCGTTAGCAAATTGAATCTGACAAGTAAATTTATCTCCGGGCTACATCCATAGTAATTACCATTATGACATAAAAATAACTTTTCACAAATATATTGATAATGCAGCAGCATTCGTTTTTTACAGCCATTAATAATTTTATATGACGTCAGCGTTCGGTACAGTCGCAAGCGCAGGCGCCATAGCACAAAGATAATGGCGCCACTTGTGGACCAGATGATAATATTATTTATAAATTAATGGTTTCTGGCTTTGCGTTGAATTACTCTTGCTGTCACAAACAATATTATTTAGACAGTTTAGAATGCGTTAAATTCTGTCTGTAGATTACCAGATAATTAAAAGACTTTTAACGGTTTAAAAATATATAAGTCCCCCGTGACCACAGCTGCCGCAAAGCATCCGACACAAGATAACTAATTTATTTCATGTTTTAAACCGTTGAAAGTGATTTATTTAAATGAAAAATGTTAATATTATTTCGATTCGGTATAAAAATCAAATTTGAAAGGTATGTTCCTGTTGGAACATACCTCAGTAGAACAGTACGAAAAAAAAAGTTTGCTTGGATTTCAGCTGTAGGTACCATCTGGTGCATATGTAGTGTAACATATGTACAAAGTAATAAGGCGCAACAATCCATTTAGATGAGCATTGTGTTCGGGAACACGTGGCCTAACACCTGCCGGCGCTTTCTCGCTGCAGTCTACTGTAACGTAGACGGCTGCGTCAGCGCAAAAAAGTAACATCTTCCTTAGGATTACAAAGAGCGTATTGACAGAATGTCACCACACACGACTCATTAGTCAAGTAGAATTTCACTTAACAGTTGGTGTTCAGGCAACAAATTGTTGGACATTTAAAGGACAATTGTGGAATTTTTAGATGGGGTTTTTTTTATTTTATTAAAACAGTTTTTTATGCGATTAAAATTGACGGACGGCCTTTTCATCTGTCTAAGGTGGTACATTCGGAATTTCGATAATCCTATCACCAATAAAATCCAGCTATTCCGGGGGAAGTCTAACATAATTCAGAAGCATTATAAATAGATTAAAAACTGCTGGACCTGGTGGGGATCGAATCGATCGTGATCTCAATCCTAATGTAATTGAATTTTTTAACACAAAATGCACCTTTAGTATAAGTATTTCTTCCAAATTGTGCATATTAAAAAAAGGAATAAAATCCGTTTAGTCAGACAGACAAAACAGCATTTATTCAAACAACGTGTCACATATCAAGAATTACGTATTTATCAATTGAGCTAAGATTTATGTATCCGCAGTTCTAACAGCTTTTAAAGCCGCTTAAACAATAACAAACAGGGACTTTTTTACAAAGGTAAAGCCCGAAGTCGTGATGAAGTTCTCGTGTTCTAACACAAAGGAAGTACAAATGACTGATAAAGAAAACAATGCTGGAATCTGACTTATACAAATGCCCGGAGCAGACACGAAAACGTATTAGAGAAATAATTAAGAAAGCTAGATTTTAGAAGCAAGCTAAAAATATATATTGTATTTGTTGTGGTTTTTATTAAGACGAGAGAGGCAAGAGATTCTCTAAACAGCGATAAGACCGCCTGTTACCATCCATTGTTTTAATTTATTTTATGTTATAGACAGTTTAATAAATAAATAAACTCCGTTCTTTTAAGAGAACCCTCTATAACTTTTACTTTTGTAACTCTTAAGTTAGTTTTGTCCTACCTTGTTGTACTTTTACTATGTACCTTTGCTTTTCTTTATTATTCTTTACACCTACCCACTAAATAAGTACTTCTTATCAACTGTACTTCAGGTTTCCTGGAAGGGAACGCTACTTATCGTTAAGACCTCCTTTTATTTAGTACGTAAGATTTTTCCTCTTTAATGTGTTTTTAAGGTATTTATAATAAAATAATAAAGCTTTAATAAACCTATATATAATAACCATTGAACACCTATTCAAGTCGTTAAATAATTATTAACGACGCGACATAGTGAGGGGACTAAATTTAAGCCGTTTTTTTTTTAAATACCACTCACGTAGATTACGTCTACTTGTATAAAAATGGTAGCAAAAACACAGAAATTATTGTTTAAGTTCGAAACAATTAGATATATTATTGAAGTTTTTCTCGGATAATTACTTGCTGTTTAACTAACTTCAAGTTAATTTATGCACTGCACGATAAGCTGACACTATTTCCTTCACAAGTGAACCAATTTCGTCTGTTATCAGCGCAGGCGCTTACTTTAATGCTTTCGTAAGTTGTTGTGTGTGGTAATATTATCATTTTATGACTATCCAAATGCGCGTGATGCTGAATCTAAGGTTACGGTTCTAAAAATTATGGAAGAATGACTCATTCACGCGGTTTCTTTGTAGATAAACGTGAGTACGTGAATGGAATGGTGTTTAAGGGCTAGCGATGGCTGTCAAATAAAAATTGTTTCACGTATCGATACTCGCGCGAACACGATGCACATCGACAAACACTTGTTTTGTTGTATTATGTAAACACAGTTTCTTACTAACAAGGTACTTATTATGTTTAATACAATACGGAAGCCGTGATTGCAATAAGAAATTGCATTTTGCATAGAAAGCATTATAGTGGCACCTGTTCATTGCACAAACAAGTTTAAAACTAGAAAGTGAATAATATGTACTTTTTTATGGCAACTGTAATATTTGACCATAGCTGTGAAAATTTTAAAACATAGTTTATTTCTTAAAATAAAAATTAAATAGATTCATAAAAAAAATTTATTTGTCTGTCTGTTCGTCGTGATTCTAAAGAGTGCTCAAAAAAACAAACATAACTGAGAAGAACACCCAAAAAACTCAGTTCGGCTTTTTTTTACATGTCTTATAAACTAATTTATTCTTGTGAATTTATTGACCTAAGAAGCAACTAATATTACTGCCAGGCGGTCCTATCATTAAAGAAATTGGTTCAGATCATGTCAACACTTATTTTCAATCGCAAGAACATTCTGTAAATCACGTGAAAAATAATAAAAATGTTCCGATTTGAAACGGTGTTTCACTTTCGAAAAATATTAACTGAATACTATGTTAGTGGGTAGAGCAGCGACACGGTATGCTGTTGGTCAAACGTGCCAATCTGGGCAGTGCGATCGATTATTCCAATGTAAAATGCTTTTTCACATAAACGTTATCTGTTATTTAAGTTTATAACTTGTGTTTATTTTTTGTAATTTTCTTGGAAATAATATATTTCTAAAAAAAAGCAAAAACGATTCTTTGACAACTATATTATTTTTTACATGTTATTTCACACGAAGGCACTATATAATTTAAAACTGAGCTACCGAGTCCTCAATTGGTAGAGCAACAGCACGGAACGCTGACGATGCCGGTACAAGTCCTGCCCGAGTCGAAATTTTTTTAAATTTATTTTCGATTTTTAAAAACAATTCTATTAATTTGGATTTGATTATCACATAACAATAGTTCGGAAATTACAAACCCACTTGCAAGTTAATACTACTAGTACGAGTTTCTCGGCTATCCATAGATTATGATAATAATGTAATAAATTATGACAAAGTTTCACTTCGTGGAACTACTTCTACGCGTCAAATAAATAAAAGAGAGCTAAAGATGCTTAATGGACAAAAGCTGATTAATACTCTGTTAGGAATCTTAATTGGTACTTCCAATTAAAGGGATAACTGGCAGTAATTCAGCTAATTGGTTATCTGTGTATCTAAAATCTAGGTGCGGCTTTCATACGAGTAAATGTGAATATTATGTATTTAACAATAATAATATGATATTTAAACGCTAAAGTAATGATAACTAACAACGTTAGATTTGCATTAATATTTCGAAAAATTTGAAATAATTGCCAATGTGTAAACATTATCC